CACCTAGGTCTTATGACCTAATGATTATAAGTCGAATTATAATGTGCAAATCTCAATATGAAAATTGAGGTTTGAATTCCCTCGCCCAATTTGTAGCATGTTAAAAAAAATATTAAAAAATTTTAAAAATGAATATTAATTTTAGTATTAATGTCACATAAATTAATTTAATTAATTAACTGTTAAAATTAAAATTAAACTTTATTTTTTATGTAATTTAATAATTAAAATATCTATTAATTATAGCATTAGTGTGTGTTAGAAAAACCCTATTATAATTAATGGTTTTAAAAAAGATTTTAAACTACTAATAAGATATTAGACAAACCATGTGACCCTAACAATTTCATAACCATAGGCCCTACAATCAGTGTTTCTAGAATTCCATCCGGCAGTTGCTTTTGACTGTTGATATTTTTCTTGAAAGAGAGATTTGATGTTACAAAATACAACGGAAACCCCACCAAAATCCGCGGTCGGTGTTGATTAGGTGTTTTTCAAGTGGAGAAAAAAAAAAAAAAAACTTACGTACTACTCCACTTATAAAGAAATAGGATAAAAGGGAGAAGATAAGTTTTTTTTTTTTTTTTTTTTTCTAAGGAATGCTTTTCCAAAAGGTCTTCCATGGGTCCAATTGAATTGTAGAAAGCACGATACAGCGTAAACAGGGCGTATTATCCAGTCTGGACTCAGGGAAACAAGGACTGAGGAAGCACATGTTGCATGCTTTGTAGGCCGCTGGGCATTTTTCCGTTTAAAATTAATGTGTGGGTTCTTACGCTATGGAGTAGTAATCAGTGTCCAATTATTGGTGGGTTAGTTAGTTACAAAATACGTAAATGATGAGATTGTAATAGGTAATATACAGTGACTAACTAATCGTATTTGTTAACCCAAAATGTTATATTTACCAATAAATAAACATTGTTTTATGAGTGAAGTTGAGAGTCTATATTTTAAAGACAATATTAAAAGAAATTATTTTTATTAAATGTGCCCAATTGATATGGGAGGAAAAATAGTTTAGGAAAAAATCTTGAGGATAAGCAACATTGATCGGGTAACACCCCAACCATCCATTAAAAACAAAAAAATAAAAAAACCGAATATGATGTGGTCAAAATTTTGGTTGCTAGTTGTAGTATTTAAGGAGAAATCCCCGGGACGTGGTAATACAGTAATACTAGTACTCCTAATAATTATTTTAGCAGGCTCGCCAGGACCTGACTGGACATCTTAGGCCCGTAAAGAAAGCCTAGTCCATCACAAGAATTATTATCAAGCCTACAATGTTTTCAATGTACGGTTTTCCTCCGAGCCAGGCAAAGGGCCTTGCAAAGTTTCCATGACCGTATTTATTTAGAGAATGCAATTATAAAGTTTCCATAATCCTTGTAATCAAGAATCCCAAACAACATATAATTTAAATCATCTAGAGAATCATAGTTAAGACTTAAGATGAAAACAGGATATCTGATGAATAAAAGACGAATGCTAGCAGAGAATCGCTAAAAGATGAAAAAAATTCAACAAGAGTAATGATCAACTTTAAAGGATGACAGAGCCATCCCAAGATTCCGAACAGAAACATGAAGAGAAAACCATCATATTTTATTACTTTTCACCTTATTCTGATATTATTCCAAAAAAATGAGAAAATATACTGAATCGTACAGTATGTATTCATACCTTTCCACCTAATCTACAGAATCATTATTTCTTTTGGCATAATACAACAGCTTTAAGTGTAACAAACTACCCATGTTAGAATGACTATCGAAATCCACTTGCAATGGCTACGATTCACTTTTAGCTTCATTTTGAACCCCCAGAACAGACTGTAAATAAAACATGAATTATATGAGCACATGACAGTTCTATGCTTCTACGAGCAGGTGAAAATTAACCAACACTCATGCATCATTGATACTAGAAACAAATTGTTTCCCAATACTTCATCTTGTCAGTTACGTACTTCCAAATGTTAAATAAAGTTGATTTGTAACTTACCATATCCAGAAGGTGAAGAGCAGCAGGTCTGGTGAATTTTCTGGCAAAAAGAAAGCAAGGAGCTGGTTTCCCCTTGCTGGTACACCATTCTCTTCTGTATTCTGTCTCATAATAAATATTATCAATTTCCTGCAGAAGTGAATGAAGTTGTTTACATTGTCTCCCCATTACACGATATTAATTAATAATTTACAATTTAATTTTCAGCTATGATCAATTAGATGCTATTCCAATGAATCTCCAGTGCTTCTATTGAATTTAAAATGACAAGCTATGCTACTTTTCGTTATAAGCCATTTCAGCCTATCAGACATAAAACATTAATTGTAGGTTTAGACTTTTGAATTAGTTTATGTTTATGAAACGTTGTTCTAGCTAGCAAATGCAGTGTATCATATTCTAATCAATAAAATAATATTTGCATGCAGAATAGTAAAACAAATATTTAATAGACTTCTTCCATAAAAATTTGAATCATCGGGACCTACAAGAACCAAATTTACTGAAAAAGAGAGGGATGTATACCTTTATAGATTTAATAAGCATGGGAGTGGCATCAGAAAACTTATAAGTCACTGGATGCCAGCCACGGCGTTCACGATCTTTAGAGGCTGAAAGATCCCATGCAGAATAAGTCAATGATCTTCGCGTAACTTCTCCTTCAAGATCTTCTTGCTGAATTTTGAAAGAGAAGGTGTTACAAAAAATAAAAATCTTGTTCAAACAAAAGAAAAAAAAAAGTGTTTGCATTCCCATTCCAGTTCTTGAAATGTTTTACTTCCCATACCAGAAGGAATTTTCATGCATTAAGTTTGTGCATGTATTTCTTTTTAAGTAGGTAAAAAATTTAGTGTGAGAAATAGTAGAAATATTAGAACTCATGGACACAGATGTACAAGGCTATTGAACAGATCCTGTTCAAGTAACGTCATGAGAAATAGCAAAGATCTCAGTTCATTATGAAGTGTCATGTCCTCTTTTAACTCTAAAAATACAGAGCAGATCTAAACTCTAAAGCCACTAATTGCATGGAATGTCACTTTCTTTCTCTGCAAGAAATATATCATTAGAAGTGAAGGCGTTGACATTAACAAAAAGAACCAGCCATTTCAATTCTTATATTTATAGAAACATAAAGACTTTGATAAGGATCTAACTTACAGCCAGCAGTGTCTGAACATAATGTTCATCTGGTATACAATTGTGCTCCTTGGCTGGATCAACTGGCTACACATTGTAAGAAAATAAGATTATGACTTGATCTCTTGAAAGTATTATCAAGAAACCTTCACAAAAAATCTTTTAAAATCAGATATTCACTTACAAAAGAACGATCTCGCCAAAACTCAGGTAGTGATCTCCTCTGCATAATCACAACTAACCATGTAAATTATGAGAACGTAACAGGACCTTAACAAACAAGAAGATAATAATAAATAAATAGCTCATAACATTGTGAAAGTGTCCATGAGCTCTATGCACAAATCACTTAGCAAGCAGACAGTAGCTTCCTGGTAGATAGATAAGGTATTCATTTATAGACTATTTAAAACTATCAAACAGCAACTGAATCAAAATAAAATGACCAAAATCTGAAATAAACTGAAATATCAATGAAAATGATTCAAGACAACTTGCCTTGCAATGCTGTTGAAACATGGCAAAGACAGTAGTGTCATTTACAACAACCTCTGCATGCTTTTTGGTCAGAACAACCCACTGCAGGATGGCAAATCATTGGTTGGATATTTACAAGTCAGCAAAAATATTTTGTAACAGAAAATGTTAGGCTATTTCTATTCTTTCATTTTTATGCTTTAATATATCAAAACACAAGAAAAACATTAGTGAAGCAAATCAAAGTGTTACCTGAGATCCTTTTCTCCAGTTATGAACAGGAATAACAGGAAACATCTTTGGATTGTAGCGGCCTTCCTTTGTATCAGCAAAGCTGCTTCCAACAATTCATCGAAAGACAAGCAAGTAAAGTTGATTAGTGGCAAGCATTTACACACTCAGAAAACCTAATATTAAAAATCACATTATTGCAAAGAGACAGTGCATGGAAAGCATTGCAAGAAGCTATCTCATAAGGTTCTGAATAGAAACAGCCTGTCCAACTAACCTGTCTACGAAACTAGTTGATGTTGACATAATATAGTTATATGTGTAACTGAAGTTGTAAAGAGGTATGCAGCTGAGAAGAAATCAAGTAACTGAAAAACCGTTAAAAAAAAAAAAGAAAACAGAAAATAACTTTCCCTTTGCTATCTACAAAAAGATAAATAAGGAAAAGCATCACTAACCATCCATCATTTAAATCAGTTCTCACCTGTCTGAAAGAAAAACAAAGCGTTCATTTAAAGGATCCGTCAATGCGTGTCTAAGCAATATACGCTCCGCCTCAATCATGCTTGCTTCTCCCCAGTCTACCTGAAAATAGAAAATTTGAGCTAAATTCAATTGTGTCAATTAAAATAGAAATTGTGCCTTCATGTTTTCTTTCTTTTGCTGAGGCTTAACTTGCCTGTATGCTATCATTAACTTGACGATTTAAAAAATTTACAGATCTTGTGGTTGCCTTGTTGAATATAAATCCAGGCCTAGAGTGAACGTAAATTGAAAATCTGTTTTCTCCCTGCAAAATAAAATATATGTTTAAGCGTAATTAACAACACTAATCCACAATTGCAGTCTCAATACAAATTAACAAAATATTCCTCAATCAAAAGAAAAAAAAAATCAATAAATGCTTGTCTAAGATGTTAAAGAGTTAATTTACCTTTTTCTCAAAACTAATTATCTCAATAATTATAATCAAGTAATCAAATTAGTGAAAAATTTACCTTAAAAAATGCATCCCAAACCATTTCGAGAGGAAGCCGATTTCGCGCGATGAAAAGAAATGCTATCTTCTTCTTCGCAACGAAACGGTGGTGCAGAGCAGAAAGCGACACGATCTGCGTGTACTGCGTCTCCATCAACACCAAGCTCGCGACACAGAAGGCCACCAGTAGTAATGCCAACGCCTTCCTCTTCCATTTGTACGATGGTTTCAGCTGAATCGCCTTCCTCTTCACCTCTCTCATCCTCACTTCAACTTCTCCACCATTTTTAGGGTTTCATCGTCAAATTCAAACGAAAAATCAAAATCTCACGCGAAAAGCTTGAATTTATTGACAGCTCTCTGTATTCCTTCTGCTCTCAGCTATGGATTCTTAACCGTTGACTCGAGATTTGAGGATGGAGAAAGTAAATTAAGATGTCAGAAAGCACGTTTTCAGCTATAGAGATTGAAATCTGCTTCAAATTTCAGTGAAATTCACGCGAATTCAGAATCGAAGGCATCGAGAAGTTTCTTCAAGATATGGAGATTTGATTTGGTGAGAGTTGCTTCGAATCACGTGTAATTCGGTTTGTTCAAAGAGATTTGAAGGAAGACGAAGAGAATGAAATACTGTTGAAGGAGAGTCTAGAAGTAAGAGTGAAGGTGGCTGAGCTCCGTCCTTTGGCTCTGGTGTCGTAAAGGACGGGGTTTTTACTCCATTGCGTGAGAATTAGGGAATTTCATCAGCTTTTTTTCCATCTTTATATTATGGTATATTTCTCTTCTTTTCTTTTCTTTTTTCATTTTTTTTTAGCTTTCTTTTTCTAATAAGATTTTTTTTCTACACTTTATGACATTATTAATTCCATGTCATTACATGCTTTTGATGTCAAAAGTAGAAAAATATTACCACCAACAAAAAAAAAAAAAGAGAGGAAAGAATGGTATATTCATCAATATTTTCATAAAAGAAACAAAGAAAAATTAATTAATACTATTATTTTACATATTTAAAGCATTGTTATCTTGAATTCACCTAAAATAGCTAATATGAGACAATATAGAAGTTAGATCAATTAGTAAATAAGTCTATGAAGGACTTAAAGTTAATAAAATGCTAATTCAATTGAGCTCACTCTTAGTTAAAAGTTTTTTTATGTTATTATTTACTTTAAAATGTTTAAGATGATTTTAACGCCAACTAAATTTTGATTGGTTATAAAGGGGTAAAGGTTAATAGCAAATTCAATAATAACTTTATTATAAACCTCTTATATATATATATGTATGGATCATTCGGTATTCGAAAACCCATTGGCTCACCTATTATAAACCTCCTTTTGATCCTTTTACAAACTATTATTATTTATTTTAAAATGTTTTAGATGATTTAAATGCCAATTGAATTTTGATTGGTTGTAAAAGGGTAAAGGTTAATGGCTAATTCAATAATAGCTTTATTATAAACTTCCCCTTTCATAAACTGTCATTGTTTACTTTAATTTAAGATGATTTTAATGCCAACTAAATTTTAATGCCAAGTACATTTTGATTGGGATTTATTTGTACATCTGAATGAATTATACAAAAAGAATAATTCTTTTTTTCTTCTTAAATTCCTTTCAACTCAATTTAAAATTTAAATTTAAAATTTTCAACTTGAAATCTTCAATTTTTAACTATTGAGTTATCCTATTAAAAGTTATAATATTTCTTTTGTAGTTCTTCCCTTCTCCATTTTTCCTTTTTTTCCCCCAAATGCAGTAAGAAATACAAATTCTGCCGATTTATTATTGTCAACCCATTAAATATAAATAGCATCATTACATGTATTAAAAGCGGTCATAAAGGAAGGAAAATGAAGGGATAACTACCAGGTTGTTATGTAATTATAAATGATGATTTGTTGAGGCTCTTTCTTTTTTGTATGCCATGTGATGAGGGGTGAGGTTTATTAATTCCAAAGAAATGTAACGACCAAGTTGGATAATGTAATGTCTAAGGATGCCTCCATCTGAGAAAAAATCATTAATTAGAGAAATATATAAGTGCAATGATTTTGCAACCTCCAATTACGGTTTTAACCTCGGTCACCTAATGAGAGCCCAATAAAGGGCAAATGATCAAAGAGGGTTAGATGCCTTTTTTATTTTTTATTTTTATGCGAAAAATAGATGTTTTCAAATTAGAACAGTTTCTAATAGCAAGTAAATCTTTAAGATATCAATCTTAATGAATTTCTATGAGTATCAAGCTATTAGTTCTATGGTGGTGTTATAGGAATAATTTTTCTATATCATATTTTTATACAACTTTTATATGTTATTAAATGAGTTGATGCATTTAATATTACGGATTCTACATGAATTAAAAAAATCAATAATTTTAATGATATTTCAAGTTGTTCAAAAAGTGAGACAAAAAAATTATACAAAAATCATTTCTCTTTGTTCTACTAGATTGTTGGTTGATGAAATGACTAGTATTTTCCAAGTCAAATTATGTATATAGATTAAGTTATTATTTTGATAATTAGTTATAATTAAATTATTAATTTTGTATGTATAATTAAATTAGTACTCTTTCTATCATATAATAACTATTATTTTTTATTTTTTAATTAAAAAATTGAGGATTATTTATACATTTACTTATATTATCTTTAAGAAGAAACTAAAAGATAAAATAAAATTTTTTTGATATAATAATTAATTAAAATAAATAGATAATAATAGAATTAAAATAAAAATACCTTACAAAATAAAAAACAATTAATTATTTTGGTACGAGAGGGAGTAAGTAACATTCTCAATTGAAACAAACTCTAATATTTTTATTTTTCACTCTAAAAAAAAAAGATAATAGAGATTATTAATTAAGAATTTATTTTTATTAAAAGTGGTGATGTAATGTAACTTAGATGCTAGAGCAATTAAAAATACACAGAAAGGAGAAAAAATGGAAAAAGGAGGAACTGTCCAGGAACAACAAGCCCACAAAGAACGTTTGCAGAAAAAGCCCATCTTCATCACCTTCTCATTGAACGTTGTCGTTTTATATTTTCTTGCAATCTTACTCATATTCACCGCCATCGAACTGGCTAACCCAAACCATGTCGGTAGAGTCACTATCCATCCCTCAAACTTTTACCCTTAAACGGTACTGAGGCTCTCAATTTTATTTGTCTAATTCATGTTCCGACTATTCAGTAATTAATCATTTCTGATTTTCAATTCAATCTGTGTAATTGTAGTGTTTCAGTTGCTGAAACTACAAGAAAAACTTCATGGGTACCTCTCAAATCCTTGAAAGCAGACACCTTGAGAAGCAGGGGTTTCTCAGCCAGGTCGACCTTGAACGTTGAAAATGGTGGATTTAGACAGTACCCACATGGGGTTGGTGAAAAAGATGGAGTGATCATCGTTGATCATGGGTCGCGCCGCAAAGAGTCCAATCTCATGCTAAGTAAGCATTGCGTTTTGTTGGTATTTTGCAAAATCTTAAATTGTTTGTCTTTAACCTTTTTCCGAGCAGTTGGTTTCAATTTTTGTGTGTTTCAGATGAGTTCGTGAATATTTTCAAAGAAAAAACGGGGTACCCAATTGTAGAACCTGCTCACATGGTAAATGTGTTATTTTTATTCTGTTTTTGTTTCAATTGCTTTGGCTCATTTATTTCATACTTCGTCATTTAATGCAACTAGGAGTTGGCAGAACCATCCATAAGAGATGCGTTTGGTTTGTGTATTCAACAAGGGGCAAATCGTGTGATTGTAAGCCCATTCTTTCTCTTCCCTGGACGGCATTGGCATCAGGTAAGTTATTACGGTTTCCTCTCAACGTATGGCATAAAATTGAGTCTGGTTGAGTCACTGCTATTGCTAATTTACAAAATTTACAGGATATTCCATCCTTAACAGCAGATGCTGCAAAGGAGTACCCTGGTGTGTCATATATCATAACCGCACCTCTTGGCTTGCATGAGTTACTTGTGGTATGAAAACCTTAAATCTTAAAGAATACATAAATAGAAAATGAGAGTCCACTTCATTGTGAAAAAGTCCTTCCCTTTTGGATTGGATCCATCCCTTGGTTTTCCTTATTTTAATCCATCATCTTTGTAGATGTTCAAGAAGGTTGTGGAGTTTTGCTTTCCTAATATCCTTAAGGTGCTTCATTTTTACACTTGGTTTCTGCAATATGATTTATAGATTGCAGTTGTTATGCTTTGCCAAACTTTCATTAATATTCAGCTCTAAGCGATATGTTCCGGTCTCAAAATGATTTTATTGGAAAATGTCATTGACATATCTCTTGTCTGGATCCTTTAATGAAGATATGAAGATGATATACCTATGAAGCTAAAATTACTCAATATCTTTTATGTGCAGGATATTATAAATGATAGGATCAACTACTGCTTAAGCCATGTAGCAGGAGATGCAGATGAATGTTCAGTTTGTGCTGGAACAAGCAAGTGCAGACTTTATTGACCTGTTCAGTTTGAAAATTGAGAGGCCATCTAGCAAATGGGCTGCACATGCAAACTTATGCATGGTGTAACCTGTTTAACTTCTCCAATTCTTGTCTTTGTATTTATTTGTTTTTCTGTACAATGCTGTGCGTGTACTGTGTAGCCATTGAACTTCTGCTAAGGTTTGGACAAGCATGATATGTAAAATCTCTTTATTATACAGTTTTCAATATACTATCCATGTTCTGTTTATCATATACTATCCATGTTCTGTTTATCTTACATTTGGCAAGCTTCAGCACTGCTACCTTACATGGATCACGGATGCATTCCTTCTTCTTCTTCTTCTTCTTCTTCTTCTTCTTTTTCTGAACTTAGGGAATTTTTGGGGGTGGGGAGTTAGTAGTGCCTGGGTATAGAACCCAGGACTTCATGTCCTAACACCTCCCCTCCAAGGGGAATGGCCACTAGGCCACTCAGTGTTGGACTTGAATGCATTACTTCTTGATTTACTGAACTTGAATAGAGAAACTGTCAAGGCATCAGTATTTTAGGAGCTTCTACTTTTATATTCTGCAATTATCACTCTCCATCTATAGTACCAGAGCTAAAAGCCGCTTTGAAGAAATCCCATACCCTTACGAAACTTGCCATCTTTATCTTCATACTGGCATTAATTCGAGCCTCTACTTGAGCTGGGGTCTCTTCGTCGGCAGTCGCTCTTGCTGCAACAGATTGAACCACATCAGTTGGTATTTGAAGACAGAACAAAATCAATACCAGAAAATTTTCTTTTCTTTCCTGTATGTGAGCAAGCAACTAAAAGATCATGAAGTTATTACCATTTCTTTGATTGAAATCAGAGGCAGGTTCCTGTTTTAACTGCTTTGCAAATGCCTTAGCTGCCATGAAAACATTTGTAGGTCTTTCCCACCCTCCTCCAAACACACCATGCCCTTCCTTTGGTTGAGGCTGGATCAGGAACTCAAGCACAGGCAATTCTTCACTGTCCACCCAATGAATGCAGTTCACAGGACATGAATCAACTGAAACCTGTTAAGTTCTAACAAGAAGCATCAATATGATTCAAACAAAATGCATGATACAGAATGTTCATATATAGAAACACATGACATGGTGATGCTTCAAATTGTTCTACTCTATACATTTAGTGCATATAGTCTTTTTACCTCAATTTTCTGATCATCATCTCCATATTGAACCTTAACTCGAGCACATGCAGTAGCTTCATCCATCACAAATGTGTTGCTTGCATGGTGAATGCATTCTCGGCACCCTGCCAAATCCCATTTCATGATACTTTACCTTAAATCAGTTAATAAAGATCAAAAGGAATATAGGTGAGGTGCTGAAAGTTATGAGAAATGTAAACTGGTTTGAGCATAACCTATGCAAGCATTTCCATCAACAAATAGAGCTTGGGTTCTTAATGGCCCTCTCCATGAACTATAACCCAAGCCGGAGGCAGAGACATTCCTTCTAAATCGAACTTGACCAATGGAAGCATCGTAATCTCTCCTGAGATCTTCTCTTATCAGCACTCCATAGGCCTCATTCAGCAATAAAGTATACTCATGACCCTAACCAAAAACAAGGGAAACCCACCAAAGCTCAAACTGAATTATAACTTTAACAGGTAGAGCAGCTCAGATTAAGTTGGAATGAAATGGTAAAAATGAATGACCTCCTGGCCAGCAATATCAGGATGATGTTTCTTCTGCAACTTCCTATAAGCCTCTTTGATTTCTTGGGGATTTGAATCAACAGAAACTCCAAGCAATTCATAGTAATTCTCCTTCATTCTTCTTCTTGTTCTTTCTCTCTCCCCTACTCTTTGTTGACAACATCTGATCAAGGTGGTTCTATGCTTCAACCTTGAGAATTAAACGTCAAAAAATCATAAACCAGATAGTTTCCTCAACACCCAGTTCGAAAATTTTCAAGTTCTTAATGAAATTACCTTGGATTGGATGACTTCTTTGAATTGAAATGGCCATCAAAAGGGCAAGATTTTGGGACTGAAACCTTGTAGAGTGGAAACATTGATGCTAGCATCCTATCTCTCCCTGAATTTTTCGTCTCCAAATACACCAGATAATAGATATTTCTGTTTGAAGATATTTACAATAATAGCGTACGGCTATTTCCACAGACAAAATGACTGCTCCCACGCAAAAGTTCACGAATTTATTTCAGCAATTATGTGGGCCCTCCAACCTCTTGGTGTGGATGCAGAGAAATTTGCGTTTGTTAAAAGCTTTTCGCTTTAAACCTCTGACCACTAGAAACGGTACACGTCACGAGTCAATCGTGAGTAAGCTTTTGGTTTGACTGTTGACGATGTCGTTTAAGTGAAGTTAGTATGCAACTGGTACCGGTGCCGGCTTTTTAGCAATTAGCCGCCAACAGAGGCGCAGCCGCTGAGGCAGAGCTTGTCGTTGTGGTGGAAAATGGCACGAGCAGGCAAATTTCTTGTTCCTCTCAGACAATCTATCTCGCTTATTACCTCTTCATGCTCTTTGGTTCCACGTTCCAGGCATTCGAGTGAGTTTTGCTGAATAAATGTTCATAGATTTCGTTTTTTCTTCGTAGATGTTGTCTTTCTTGGGAATTTCGATCTAATTTGCTAACTGGGTATCATTCTTTCATGGAGTTGATGGCAAAGGTGGATCTTTGAAGAAATGGGTAAGGAGCTTCGAGCATGTCATGAACAGCCGCGCCTCGACCTTGAATTGTAGATTCAACATTCAGAGAAAATTCGTGCAGGATTTCTGCTCGTTAGGCAAATCATCTTTCATTTATTTCTTTCTTGTTTTAAAATTTATTCCTTCTCATATCCTATGGAAAAAAAAATTCGTGATTCCATTTTTTTGTTGCATTGGTTTCCAATTTGATTGTTCTTCTCTGTGTTTTAATTTATATTATTCTCATAAAATAACATGCTAAAGAAATTTATGGTTTTCTGTATTTATCACTTTTGGCATGGCATGTCTTGTAGCTTGCCTTGATTCATGATTTGATTTATTGTCATGCTATTCTGCTACTTAAATCATGAATGCCCTCTTCTTTCTAATTTTCTTTGCAATTTTTGTAATACTATTTTGTTATCTTCCTAGTCTTCTTTTTTTTTTTTTTTTGGAGGGGTGGGTTTGAAGCAACCCTTTGCAGGAGAACATTTTTCATTGACTAATTCCATTGATTACATCCTTGTAAATTTGTAATTATTTTGAACAGTGGAGACAAAGATAGTGGTTTGGAAATAATTTGACTAAAAATGTTATGAATCTCCAAGTAGTTTCTTTGACACAGTAATATTGTTTCCTGGCTTCTTGCAACAAATGCAAACTGCTTTCGTTTGTTATATCTATTATAAGTAGCTTCCTTGTTATTTTTACAATTCATTGGATTCTTTGTACTCCATGTTTTGGGTTTTGACAATTTAAAGGTTGCTTTAGGCCTCTTTTATTTATTCCCAGTAAGATCAAGACTGAGTGGTTGCTTCTTGTTCTTTTCTTCTTCTTATTTTCTTATTGATATATCTGTATAATAGTTATGCAATTTCTAACATTGTCTTTTGTGTTATATTATTGAATTTACCCACTGATGCTGGCATTGCCTCAGGAAGTAGAGGTAGTGGAAGCATTTTTGGTGTATCAGTCTTGTTTGGATCAATCTACTTTTGGTCACATGTTGTCCATGCCATGGATGGTGAGTGGATCATGCAAAACATAACCAGCCTTAAAAACTGTGTTTTTAACTTGCCGTTATAAATTCATGTTCTTTTTATGCACATCTCTAATAACTTCCATATTTTGGATTCAATGATGTAGGTCATGATGTTTTGATGGATGAGCCTGATGTTGAATTTTTAAGTGCTTTAGATGTGGAAGAAGATTTGAACATTCTGTCAAGATTTATGAGAAAATTTTGGCTGCCTGTGTTTTTAATATTTTGTGTGTTTGTGAACCGGAATAATCCCATCACACTTGTGACTGAGATCATTTTTTTTCTCCTTCGTACCAAACCAAGCTGTTTCTCAATTTATCTTTTTGTTGATCGGGTCAGTAAGTGCCCTTCTCTCTCTCTCTCTCACACACACACACACACACACACATTATTTATTTAAGTTTTTAGCTTGGATTTTAGCATTGAGGACTTAAAACTTAACTGTGAGCCTAAATGAGAAGTTTAATTAGTTAAGCCAGAAGGTATTGTATGGGCAAACAAATGGGAATTGTGGAATCCATGGCTAATGTGAAAAGTTAGATTCATTCTTCTTATCCAACACATCTTTGAGATGTTTGGTAAATACTTGGGAAAATAATTTAAATATTTAATCATGATGATTATCAATTCATGTTTACCCTTTTTCTGGTCTTCAGCAATTCATGTTTACTTGAATTTAGGAAAAAGAATTTTTTATCTGACTGTATTTCTCATAGCTAAATTTTTTCATGGCAAGCTTTTGACAGTATCTTAAATTTTGCAGTTGTGTCGTCAACTTATGCGCCAAGAGCCACACTTGTATAGACTAAAGGTTTGTATCTCATTGTTGCTGGTTTTTTTGTTGTTGCATATTTGAAGATTTTACTCAATATTTTTCCAATACTGTCGTACATGTGGTTGTCATCTGCAATCCATGTTTGACAAACACTTTCATTCTTCAATGGAGCAATTCTTGGTACTTTTTTCCTTTTACCCAAGAGAAAAAGCAAAGTTCTTCACTTAAGCATGCTGCTTTACAAGTTTTTTCCTAAACAGTAACGAGTGATGGCTTCATTAATCAGTCAACACCTAGGTTCCCCTCCCAACAAGTATAATGCTACCTCCTGATAAACTTTTCAAGTGGAATATGTTAACATGTTCCAGGATGAGTAGGATTTTAAACAATTCTCCTAATTCCATCTTTAGGCATGCTAATAATGCCGAGTTTGTCCAATTCTGGAAGAAGCAATCCGTCTGTTCTTTTGGCAGTCGGGTTGATTTAGTGGATTAAAAATATTGTAATCCATTCAGGAGAAAATAGTGGATATAAAGCTTATTTTATCATGCACTGCTGCTGTATTCGGTTGAATGAATTAAGTTTCTTCAAGAGCATCTAAATTCTAGACAGTGAAGAGATTTGACATCATTAGCTGGAGTTACATTTTAGTTGCTCGTATAACTGACAATCACTTTACCGTGCAGTCATTGTGTGCCAGCAAAATTGAAGTGCAGGATTATCACCTTTTTTGCCTAGCCAGGGTTGTAGTTAGAGATCAGAAATTAAATTTGGTGGGGATTCTTGGAGGTTGGTGGCCATTGCCATCGTCAATATATTTTCCTTCATCACTCGTTTTCCAAAACATCATTCAAACACCAAGGTAATTAGTTGCCATTGTAAGTAACTGCAAGCTAGCTAGTTCATAAGATCATGTTAATTTATCCAAGCAAAACAATTCTTCTCTGACCGTCTAAAATATAGAGAGGAATGAGTTTTAAGATTATGATCCGAAGTATCATTTTAGCTGCTTGTATTTACCAGCAATTACTTTATTGTGCAGTATTCATATCGCAGCAAATTCAGAGTGGGTGATTTTGGGCTTTTCTACTTAGCTAGAGTTGAAGTTGGAGGGAAGAAATTAATTTGCCATGGACTTTTGATGGTTCGTGGTTGTTGCCTTCGTTACTGGATATATTTTCTTGGTTCAGCGCAGATTTTCTGTAAACAAGGTAATTAGTTGTGATTATAAATAGCTGCTAACTAACATTAATTTGTAACATTTAGCTTTAGAACATGTTTGTGTATCCAATCATACCAATTTTTTGGCCTGAGGATTCCCTGAGTGTTCCAAGTTCCTACAAAAGAGTGCTATTTAACAGCATTCATAATGCCAGGCTTAGAATACCAGTTACATGCTATCAAACAACATTACCTATCCTTTGCTGAGAGAGGCTACATATCAATCTTACACAATTATACACCAGATTCAGGCTCTGGATTCTTGAAGCTCTGGTCTTTTGAACTTCCTGAAACCAAAGTCATGTATCTGTTTCTTCCACGAGAGGCTCTTACTCCCAACCCAGAAGGGAATAATCATCTTCCCGAGCTGTGCTCGGGTCCAATGAAGGGAAACAGAACATGCCTCCCCATTGAGGAAAGTATATCAAAGTAACAGGAAGGGTACAAGCAATCATTGTAACACCCATCAAAGAAATGCTTGTTTGCTTGGAAAATTTGTCCCCCGAGAAGAACAGCATCTGGTTCACCACCGCTCCCACCGTGCCCCCGCTGCCTGTCATCCCTGCTATCATTCCCAGTGACCTGCAATCACACCATACATAGATTAAATGAGAAAATAAAAAAACTTAATGCATCTCTAAAATGTAACAGCAATAATAAATTTGCTGAAAACTGTTTTACAATAAAAATTATATACTGTAAAATTATTTAAATGTTTTTTAAAAAATAATATAAAAATAAAATTAAGTATAATTAAATAATTTTATAAAATAAATTATATACAGTCCGTTTTGTAAAACAATTTTTTCATAAGTTTGATATAAAAATTTTGTAAAAAAACTATTACTTGGTGAAACGAAAAGATATTTTTGTAATCTGAATTGCAAATTACTAATAATTATATTAAGAGACCCGTAACATTAAAAAAGTCTTGTTTAATGCCTAATATTTTGTAATTTAAATTATATTAAATTATAAAATACTGATAATTATATTTAAATACCCCATAATATTAAGCAAGTCTTGTTTAATGTTTAATACTTGCTCTACAATTTAAACTGAAAAATACTGTTCGTCAAAAATTGAATTTCATTTTTATGTGAGTAGGATCTACATCACTACGTTGTGAACTCGTGACACTCAACATCTCTTGCTGTTTCACGTGGCAACCAATGCCCTCATATCACATTTTCGGACGTAACTTCCTTTTTTTGTCGTTTTACTTGCGTAAAAAGTTACAAAAAATTATCTGACCTTTTGGAAACGAAAGGCACCACTCCAAACGTGAGGCCAGAAGCAGCTTGAACGAACACAGAGAACAAGCACATCACTGCAACAGAGCCCCAGAGAGAGTTGACCCGTCCAAGCACCACACACAGCACACCCGCCGCCGTCTGCACTGCCCACAACCCCCACAGCCTGCCCCTCATCCCGAACCTCTCCGCCATCTTGTCCGAAAAAATCCCGCCTATCGGCCTTGAAAACAGATTCGCCATCCCAAAACACGCCGCAATTGTTCCGGCGACCTCCAGAGACACCCCGAACCTGTCGTAGAAATACACCGCTATTATGTTATCCGTCGTCATCTCCACTCCGAAAGAAAACCCGTATGCTAAACCCAGAATCCATCCCCTGTAGTTCAACAACCCATGGAAGAAAACTGTTGCGAAGTTCTCTTTTTGTAATTTATGGGATGACTGCTGGCGGTCTCTGAAGTTTCCTGAGGGAAGATCTTGGCCGTAAGCGAGGACGAGAATGGCGGTTACTGCTTGGAAAATTGCCGGAACAACGAAAATAATTCGCCATGCTCTGGTTTCCGGTACATTTAGGGAGTTTACTAGGGAATAAAGAGAGGGCATGACTAATTGAGCGACGCCGGCTCCTACGTTAGCCCAACCGGCGGCAACGCCGTTGGCGAGGCCAACGATGTTGCTGGAGAACATGCAGCTCATCCAGAACTGGTTAGCCACAAAGTTAGCCAGACAAAACCCCTGAAGAAACCGAACCACAATAAACGACGTCGGCGACGAGACAAACGCGGTGGCTAAAACCACTGGCGCGGTGAGGAAAGAGAGAGTGGAGGAGGCAACGCGAGGACCTAGAAGGTCGCAAACAGGGCCCATGAAAATGCGGGAGAAGATGGAGCCGATGAAGGCGGCTATCCCGGCGGTACCAACATCAGTGTTGGTCAAGTGAAGATCCCGGCGGATGATGGGTAGTAGTGGAGGGATAGAGAAGGTGGAGAAGAAGCAGGAGAAGAGGGAGAGCCATGCCAGGTGAAAGGCAAGCATTTGGGGCGATGATATTGAGAGTGGACGGAACTCTGTGGCTTTGCCACCGGAGTCCACCGGAAGAGAGAAGAAACGTTTTCTAGGGAAATTAGAAGGTTCCATGGACCACGGATGTTTGTATCGGAGACTTTGGAGTATTAATTAAGGAGAGACAAGAGTTGGTTTGCATATTCTGTTTTCTTCTTCTCGGATTTATATTACCATGTTTGCAAATTACTTTTCAGCCCAAAAGGAAACAAATTAAATTATTTGTTAGGGCAAAGCCCCTATTTGCACCCTCCATTTATTTGTTTTCCGTGGTCAACACCTTTTAAAATTTTTCCTCCCTATTAACACTCTCCATTTTTTAAAACCCGTAAAAAACCCAATATTTTAACGGACCGTCACGGCACCGTTAATAACCGTTAAAAATGATAATACGTGGCATTAAACAGTAACATAATCCAACGTGGATTTTTTTTTGATGATATGACATAATTAATCCATAATTAATTTTAATTTTTTCATTTTCTTCTTTCCCGCATCATCTTTACCATCTTCCTCTTCATCCTCCTGGGTTTCTCATGGAACCAGAAATCCAGAACTTTATGTCACATTTATTAATACAATGTTGGACTTTTTTTATATGTGTTATAATCAAATTATCACTAATTTTAATTTCTTCATTTTCTTCTTTCTCAGCATCATCTTCACTAGCATCATCTTCATCATCTTCACCATCCTCGTCCTCATCCCCTCAGAAACAATCTCCAAGCAAAAAAACTCACATTTCCAACAAAAAATTTATTCCAAATTGCTTTGCATAAAATCGAAGCTAAGATAAATACATTTAAAATAAAAAAATCAAAAAAAAAAAAGTTGGAACTGGGTTCCTGCGCGAGGAACCCAGAAATTGGGTTCCCCGCGAGGATGGTGAAGATGATGCCGAGGATGAGGGGAGAAAGAAAAAAAAAAAATGCCATTTATGTAATTGTTTGGTAATATTATAATTTTTTATTATTTTTATTGTATACGTGGCGTCCACGTTGGATTATTAACGTTATGTAGTGCCACGTCAATTTTTGGGTGCCACGTAACATATTTTTTAACGGTGCCGTGACGGTCCGTTAAAATATTAAGTTTTTTACGGGTTTTGAAAAATGGAGGGTGTTAATAGGGAGGAAAAATTTTAGAAGGTGTTGACCACGGAAAACAAATAAATGGAGGGTGCAAATAGGGGCTTTGGCCTATTTGTTAAAGATATTTTTTTGGCTTGACTTAAGATTCTAAACAACATTAATTATTGAATATAGTTGTATTTTTTATATTAATATTTTTTATTTATTTAATAATTTTTATTTAATAATTTAATATAATTTAAATTATAAAATAAATTCATTTTAGGGTTTAACTTTCAAGCCAAAACACAATAAAATTACTAAAAAAAATTCCAACTATATTAAAACTAACCTTCCAAAAAAAATAAAGAAAAAAGAAAAAAAGAACTGAGCTGTAACAGATGAACACCATAAAGTTAAAGAACCAATAGCTAGGCTGCGATTTTATATAAAGATAAATGAAAAAAAAAAAAAAGAAAAAAAAAGAGAAGAAAACAACCTCTCTGTATATATGGTCCTTTTGTTTATCTTTGTGTGAGAGAGAAGTTCTATCTTTGTGTGAAAGAGAAGTTATATACGCTAGCTTCCATGGCTGTCAAATAATGTCCCAATGTTCAATTATCATGCTTTCCTCTGTCGTGGGGTTGCACTCGTCATGAAATTTGGCCTTTTAGCATTCCGTGCACGAATGAACCATA